CGTCAATAGCGCCATAATCTTCTGCTTCAGCGATTAACAGGTGATGGGGGCTGCTCCAAGGAAGACAAGCACACGAGTGTGCCGTCGCCCGTCGATGTCGCCGCCATATGCGTAGTCATGCGAAAGCGATGAGCTCCGGCTCACCTTCCTTTGCCTTGGGGGGTGACTCATTGAAGACCGTGAGCCACAGCCCATCCTTGCCACCACTCTTGGGGAAGATGATCGCTTGATTGAGCGTCCCCTTGACGTAGCGCAGCAACCTTTTCACCGCCGTCCAGTGATCCTCACGCGGTTCCTCCATGAACCGACTAACATACCCGACCACGAACGCGATGTCCGGCCGAGTATGCGTGAGGTAGCGCAGCCCGCCGACGATGCTCGGAGAGCGTCACATCCACCTTCGCCGCCATGCTATGCTTGGACAGCTTTAGCCGCTCCTCCATTGGAGTTGCGCACAACTTGCACTCCGCCATGCCGCTGCGCTCCAGTAGCTTCTCCACATAGGCGCGCTGGCCCAGGGAGATGTGCTCCTTCCCCTGCCTCACCTCAATGCCGAGGTAGTAGGAAGCAGCGCCGAGATCGCTCATTTTGAAACGAGCAACCATCTCGCGCTTGAAGCCGTCAATGTCCTCCTCCGCGCGCTCGATGCGATCAAAGTCGTCCACATACACGCCGACGACGAGCTCCTCCTTCCCCCGTCGCCGCGTGTACAACGCGTGCTCTGTGGCGCAGCGAGTGAACCCAAGCTCACCCAAGGTGGCGTCAAACTTGACGTTCCACGCCCGAGGGGCCTGTCGTAGCCCATAGAGCACCTTGCGTAGCTTGAGCACCTTGTGCTCAGCGCCCTTGACGGCGAAGCCCGGAGCTTGCTTGACGAAGACCGTCTCTGCGAGCTCGTCGTTGAGGAACGCAGACTTGACGTCGAGGTGGTGGGCCGCGCCAATCGCCGCTCATCGCCATAGCCAGCGCAAGCGAACGGACTCCATTCGCGCCACCGGAGCAAAAACTTCCTCGAAGTCGATGCCCTCACGCTGCACGAAGCCACGGGCGACAAGCCGAGCCTTGTACTTGACAATGGCGCCGCGCTCATCCCGCTTCACCTTGTAGACCCACTTCAACCCGATCGGCCTGCAGCCCACCGGTGGATCCACCAGCTCCCATGTCCCATTGTCCTAGGTCGCCCTTATCTCCTCCAACATCGCTCGGCGCCAATTGACGTCGCGTTCAGCCACTATGAACGTCGGTGGCTCCTCTGCGCTGGCAAGGCGTAGTTCTGGGTCATCCAGAAGCCGGCTAGCTAGCCCAGGAGCTCCCCCTTCGCCAACAAGGTTGTCCACCCACCTGAACCGAACATCCTCGCCGTTATGGAAAGCATCCACGAACTCGTCGATGTCAGTGGGTGGTGATGCGAATTCCAAGGGGTGTCCCTTATGCTGCTGTCGCAGGGGACTGTGGTGGAGGTGAATGCGCCGCTGCTGGGGGTGTTTCTGGATGGGCGGCGGCGTCGTTGCACGAGTTCTTGTAGCCTGACCCGCCGGAGATGGCAGATCGCCCGGCGCTGGCGGTTGAAGCGTATCGCCGTACGGCAACATGGAGAGGTTGCTTTCCTGGTACAAGGCTGTTGATGATGCAGACAAAAGGCTCGTCTTGGTTGTTGATACGATAAACTATCTTCTGATTTGTTAGGCTAATCCTACTAGCATTATTCTACAGTGTGATTCTTGTGCAATATGACCCCATTTCTTGCTTCTCTCGCTACAAACGTTGGCTACGAAAGTACGAAGCGTTAGGGCTAGAAAGCAAGGACACGTATGCATTCTCCAAAGCAGGCCATTATCGAGAATCAAGGCTCTAGGATGGTGTGCCTTGCCAGGGTAAAAAAAATCCCACGTGTCAGTAAGGCCATTTTGAGTGCACTGTTTTATTATTTATATTGATACAAGTGAAATTCTAAAGTGTCACATGAGATTTATATTGATAAAAAAAATTCTCAGTGTACAATTTCATCACACGGTTTCATAACATTTGTATCATGTTTGGCTGCCTGTATAAAACCAGGCTAGACTTATGGGATATAAATTTATGTTGTTTGGTTACCTAGACAAAGATTTAAACATGTCTTACAATACAGGTTACAAAAGGCACCATCAGCCTGGCTCTCGATAAACGAGTTTCATTTCGGTTTTCTGTGGCCCTATCTCACTCGGTGCAAGGTGGCTCCTAGCTAACGATAGGATTAGGATAGCCTGGAGCGAGCCAGGCTCATTTAAACCAACTGGACGTTTTATTTTGTTTTTTTTTATCTCTTGACGTTTTATTTTGTTGCTTAGACCTTGTTTAGTTTCTTCCTCTAAAGTTTACTTTCTATTACATTGGATGTTTGACACATGCATGGAGTATTAAATATAGACTAAAAAAAACTAATTGCACAGATTGTGACTAATTTGCGAGACGAATTTTTTAAGCCTAATTAGTCCATGATTTGACAATATGGTGCTACAGTAAACATATGCTGATGACGGATTAATTAAGCTTAATAAATTCGTCTCGCGGATTACTGATGACTTCTGTAATTTGTTTTATTATTACTGCCCGAACACTCACATGGGACGCTCCAATGTGACATCCCTAAACTTTACTTCCTGAATTTAAACACCACCTTAGTATATTTATCCATCCTGCAGATTTACCGATACAGTGTTTGGTTGTTTTTATGAGAATATGTCGCATGATATAAAATATGTAAGACAAAAAAAACAATTGTTGTATTTATTGAGTACAAGGATATTTTAGTAATCTTAGTTTTTTCTTATTAAGCTTTAATTGGCTATTTAAACATAAATAGTATAGTGCCCGTGCTAACACCACGGCAATATCTTAGGGATGCATATCAAAACAACCAAAAGGCGATATTTTTTTCTTTGCCCGTGCGAACACTACCATTTCTTAAAAATGAAGTAAATAGTGATATAGATTTATTTCTCATGCCAAAAGAGATTCATAATGAGTTATCATATTGTTGAGTCCATAGCAATTATGCTTAATAATATAATGCTTTTGTTAAAGCTACAATGGCATCGAGAAAAAATAAATCATAATAAAACAAAAAATAAATTTATAGTGACCAACTGTCTAATGCTAGGCATACAAAAAATTAACTATAATTTCGTTTATTTATACATCAACCATACAATCAACATTAACCGTGTCAAACCAATACACACTCATGAAACACATATCAATCAGAACAAAGCTCACAATTTATACTAAAGCCATCATTATCTGTCATATGCCATCCTAGATAGTTCATGGCAAACAAGCCAAGATGAAATAAGTTCAACTAATATGCTAGACTCCAGATATTTGGTTGCACAGCCCATATCTCATATGGTTTGCTTGCACTCTTTACAAAATGATCATCTCTAGGAAGTCCTTGCTAAAGTTTTCACCTCTAGCTAGGATGTCCAAAACAAATCGCCATGAGGAATTTGATCCAATCGCTGGTTGCATACATCAGTCTACTTCTAGCTATTATCTCCCACCTGAAAAATAAAAGTTCACATTCGTCAAAAACACAACCTAAAACACAGCCCAACTTGATAGCAAGGCTGCAAGCAGTAGCAAAACAAAAACTACCATCAACAGATATGAAAGTGCCACCTATCAAGAGTGAACCTATCACTTTAGCTTGAGATTGAGTAGATGTACAATTTAAATAATTGTGGAGCAGTAAACACTAAACAATTAAGTGCAAAGTGGTTCAAAATAGAGTAAAAGCAAACAGCTACTGTTGTCAAGATCAAGGTAAACAAAATGCTCATATTCGCATAAATAGATGATCACTAAAAAATCTGTAGGCAAGATTCAGTTTCAGCTCCAAAATGGCAACTCGCAGAAATAGAATAGATCACCTCATAGAGTGCTGCCAGAATAGATGCATTCTAATTAAAAATACAATTTAACTCGTAGAAATAGAATAGATCACCTCATAGAATGAAGATTACAGAAATATATTCACATATGTTGTAAAAAAGGTGAGCAAGTTCAGAGTTTCAGACAAAAAGGTGAGCAAGGCAAAAAGAAATTTAGGGTAAAAAAATTGAGACCACAGGTACAATCAACATTCTCTATCTCAATATATAGAACTGTAACTAAAACAAATCATGTGTAGGGTGTGTTGTGTGTTCATATTACCATTTACATATTTCAATGGATTTAAATAATCCATCTATGAACCTTATTAGGCCACCACAAATTAATCCTTCTCTTAAAATAAGCATCCTTGCAGAGTGGGTGGGAGAGCATCACCTGGTCCTCCTGCCTCTAATCCACGCATGATGACGCCTTCTAGCTCTTGTCCACCACACGACCATGACTCTCAGTTCCAGCTTGTCCGCACAACGCCAGTTCTCGACACTGGCATCCGCCACAACGACACCTCCTGGCTCATCACTCCTGTAAGGTGATCTATATTACATATACTTTTCTATTTTTTACTCCTAGTGCTACCTAAATGGAACAATAGAGCATCCATTCTGATTCACACATAATCGTATATAATTAATAAACAATCTATCTATGCTATTGGATATATGCATAAATTTTCTGTCTGTAGTGGTTCAGAATAGAGTAAAAGCAAGCATCTAACACTTGAATTGGAACAAAAAATTTGGCCAATTCACATTGGTAATATTTCTATGAAATAAAAAGCTATAGGTCCAACCCTATCTTTTGCACAGAGACTATCCGATTTGGCTCCAGCCATAAGTTTCACATTCAGGTTCAGATAGCCACAAGTTAATTGGTCTCGTATGTCAGGGCCAACTAAACAATAGTATTTGTTAGGCCATTTGTCTGGGAATATCTTGATATGGCATTTACATTTCACCAAGCATTTCATATTCGCAATACAGTAACCATTAAACAATGAAGGGAAGAAAGACAACTGATAGTTAGTCAATTTCTCAGGGCAGAACAAAGCAGAAATTTGTGTTGCCTACCTCAGCTTTGTAAACATGCTTGGCTCCAGAGGCTCCATTCTCCAAGTCTTTGGGAGTATCTGAAATTATTTTTTTTAGAATAGAGACAATGAACACCTGAAACTGAAATTAGATAAGTTATTAAACGAATCTGCAACAAATCACCCGCAGCAGTATTTTTCACATATTATTACAACGTACCTTTGTCTAGGATTTGTTTGATTGGTTCCACAGTTCCACTTGTCCTGTAACGTTGTGCAAAACAATCAGAGCAGTCTATAATGATGTAAATGGCCTAACGTAAGAGCTACTCAAATTAGGAGGTAATTCAGCAACAAATACGGTGGAAAATCTGAATGCTCAGATCCTTGTCGAAGAGCAAAAAAAAGTGGAAGAAAAACAATATACATCAACGTAAGATTTGTTATTCCTAAGACCTGATACTGGATATAGTCATAGAATAAAAAACTGAAAAGTCACCAATTGCCTATGCTAACGCTACAGGCCACATTAAACCAAGAACTTGACTTGATAACATTTTGATGGAAGCTACCACTATCACAATAGGTGATTATGAATGTTTAAATTTCCTACTCTGTTCCCATCTCTGCCTGGTCCAATCAACTTGACTACAACAAAATTCCAATGAGATAGCAATGAGGGTTGTTTTTATTTCACATATTCAGATGTATGATAGAAAACTCTGAATTCATTATATGTTAGTTACTGCAAAAGAAAAGCTCACAGGTCAAATTGCTTACCTTGTCAAAAATAGGAAACTTTGCTTTCACATATTCATTGCTGCCAGGCTCTTGACCAGCAAATTGATTACATGGGAATGCAAGTATCTCAAGGCCTACATGTAAGAGTGAAAGGAAGCCAAGGAAAATGAGCTAAATTCAAAGAACAAACGTTTCTCTCTGTACTTCTCATACAAGACATTTAGCTGATTGTTTCTTCTTTCATTTCACTTGCTTGCTCGCTGCCATTCTTGACCACTCTATGCTGGATGGGATCTAAAAAAAACAAAATTGCTATTAGTGACCTCAGCTGGAATATCTTCTGCGGGACTGCAAGCTATTACCGTCAATCTAAAACGTCATTTGAAATACAGCAGCATGCAGCAACTTACATGGAGCATGCTCTTTGCTGTCCTTTTTATGCCACTTAGGCACATAGTAGTTATTCCTGATGCAAGAACCAACCATAGGTAGTCCAGAGTTGAAGTTATTGTGTTTCTCTGGAAAATAAAAATTATCAGAATTGTTACTCTCTCCTACAACTGTAAGTTACAAAAGGTTAGTGCTCATATAACAGTTGCAGTAAAACGAAAAAGAGGAAGGAAATATAAGTAATAATTTGTCCGTAGTTACCATTATCCATCATCTAGGTATTGCCGCAAAATGGCTTTGATTCGATTACTGGCTACAGTGACTCATAATCCCGGCAAGGCCTGCGTGCTGCTGGACATTGCTCCATCATCCCGTCCCCGCACATGCATCTGCATATATCCATATTCAGATTTTAAGTGAAAAAATAGAAAGCTTTAAGATAATTTCATCAATCGATGAAAACCTTGAAGGCCGTCGGGGGCTGGGCGCGCTCCTCTTAGCACCGCCGGGGGCTGGCCCCGCCCTCCCGCGCGCTGCGGGGGCTCGCTGCGTGCCTCCCACACGCCGCCGGGGTGCCACCACCCCGCGCCGCCGGGGGTGGCCACGCGCCCGCAGGGGCTCCCACGCGCCGCCGCCGTGCCTGCTATCTGCCGCCGGTCTTCGCTCGCCTTCTCACGGATGATTGAAACCCTAGCTCCTGTGCCTTCGCATCGGTGGGGGTTGGATCTCACGCGGAAGCGCTCCATCGCCTGGTCGCCTGGTGGCCGGCGGCGTGGCGTCTTGTTCCCTTGCGGCGCGCGGGTTGCCGTCGGCTGGTGCTTTGGCGGCGCGCGGGTTGCTGGCGGCTGGTGCCCTGGCGGCGTGCGCCCTGGTGGCCTGGTGCGGGAGAGAGGGCATCGGGGAGCGGGAGAGTCGCGCGGTGCGGGAGAGAGGGCGTCGGGGAGATGGAGAGTGGCCTCGGGAAATGAGAATCGGCGTCTGGGAGAGGGAGAGTCGTGCCTCGCGCGTGGGTGTGGGCGGGACGGGATTTCTATTTGCCACTCTTACGGTGGCCGCCTTTTCCATTTTCAGCTTCACCGTGCCATCGGTGCTCGCGAATCGCGATGCAGGGGCAGGCCAGCTACGTCAGCTCCGCTCCCTAGTCCGCCCCGCTCCATGGACGAGCGCATCCCACCCCCGCCTCTAACCGACATGTTGCCGCGCACGCACTCCCACCCCTCGCGGCGGCGCTTCGGCCTGGACAGCGAGCGTCCGCTCGCGTGCCGCGCCTCGGCTAGCATCCCTGGCCTGCCCTTGGCGACGAGCAGCGCGGCCGCGTACCCCGTGGCGCGCGGCTGAAGGAGCGCGCGGGGCTGGGGCCGGGGCGAGCGCCAGGGACGACGACGAGCGGCGAGGGCGAGGCTCAGGCGCGCCGCGGGAGGAGCCTGGGAGCGGGCCTTGGACGACGTCGCTCTGCCTGCGCTGCGCCGTCGCAGCCGCCGAGGCCAAGGACGAGGCCGCCGTTGCTGCTCGTCGTCCGCTGCGGCCACAGCTCTGTGCCGTTCAGCAAAACATCCAAGTCCGGTTCGGCGTTCATATCCCGGCGATGGAGTTCTAGTCGGCAGGGCGCAGGAGGCGCGCCGCTGGTATGCGGGCGCAGCCTGGCGAGCACGGCCTACGCAGGTAGCAGCTGGTGCGCTCCTCGGACAGGGTTGAGCGGTGCCGCTGTGGTTGGATCCTGTGGCGCTGGTCGGAGTCAAGGCGACGCGGGCGTCCATGGCGGCCGGCAACTCAAGTACAGAGTCGTCCATGGCGCCTGCTTGGCCTCACCCTCTACCGCTCCATCCTCTTCCTGCTCTGCTGCTCGCTGCCGCTCCTGGGGTGGACACCGCGGCGTCAGCGTCCAACACTTTGTGCTCCTCGTTTTGCTGCTCGCGTGCGTCCTCGGCCGGCACGACGGCTCAACAAGCGGCGACATGGGGTGAGCGGCAGTGCTGGAGCTATGGGTGAGCGTGGCTTGGCAAGTGGCAACACAGATGAGTGGCTCCAAGCGAGCGACGGTGTTGGAAATTGGAACTTGCAAGAAAGAAGTAACAGGAGGAAGAAAGAAGAAAGAAGAGAGAGGAGTAAGGAAGAAGAAAGCAACCTGACAGCTGGGTCCCACTAGGGGTGAGACGGGCAGCTGCTGCTTCTGCTAGCACCGTTGGTGCCGGGCAAGCGGAGGCGGACGCAGCCGTTAAGTTCCGCTTGCTCGTATAGGATCGTGGGTTATAAGTTAAAATAGTATTTTCTCTTATATCAAATTAGTCAGTAGTAAATAATTCACAATCGTTTATGACGAAACGAACAGGCTGGCTAGCTGAACTGGCACCCCACGTCAGCAACAGTAACAAAATTGTATCTAAGTTATTGTTTTCTAGGGTAATTTTATAGTTGCAAACGGAGAGGCGGCCACCATAAGAGTGGCAAATAATTAGAAATCTCGGGCAGGACGGTTTGACAAATGAGTGATAAGATTTGGTCTAAGCAATCTGGTCCATTGGATTTGAGTAAGAGAAAGGAGAAATCAGAGTAGATCTTATCCCTTCGTTTCAAAGGTTGACTTGCTTTGGGTGTATATATTTGGGTGTGCTTAGGAGAGTTCATGACTGTGGTGAGCAGGTTTTGGTGTGTCTTTAGGAAAGTTTACATCGGTGCATTATATGCGGCAGAGATATGACATAATATATACTAATTATATGATACAAGTAACCAAATAGATACATAACTGTTTCATGATGTTGAGAGCAACAAGTTTGGAGATGAAACAAATTACTTTTAGTGGGGTTCCCCTCTAGTTTCATAACCTTGATAACCGTGTACACCATGTCTCATCGTGAAAAAACTTAACTATTCTCTCTTTATAAATTTCATGCCATGCCACCACTTCTAGTAGTTTCAAAAAAAAAAAGATGGAGACAACTCTCTAACTCCCGGTCATATTCCGTGCCCGCTGTTCATGGTTCACCTCTGCTGGCAAATTGACCTGGCACGGACGCACGGTGGCACCTGGCCGGCTGGCCGCGAGCCAGCCTGCGCGCCCTGCAGGCTTGTAGCTATCGCTATCGGGTAGCAGTAAGTAACCGTACCCGCAGTCCCGCAGGAGATGGATGCCTTGGTCTTGCCTGCGCTGCGTGCGCATCGTGATGAGAGCCTTTGGCTACACTAGCTCTCACGCGAACCCAACTGCATCTGCATTTAAACGCCGGCGCGTTTGACCAGCGGGCGCGCATCGATCAGTGATCACCCATTCACCCGCCTTGCCGTGCGTACTCCTCCTCCGCCGCCGCCGCCGCGGCGCGCGGCTTCGTCCCCATCCCGTACGCAGATGAGCTAGCTCCTCATCGTTGTCGTTTCCACCACCAGTCTCTCGCGTCGTGCATCAGGAATGCTAAAGCACCGTCGCGGCTGTGCCGTGCTCGGCGGTTTTCAGTTTGGTGCAGGGATATAATCTCAGGGAGCAGCTCGATCGGCGGCGGGCGGCGGCGATCGATGGGGAAGCTGGCGAGGCTGGTGGACGGCATCAAGGAGAAGCTGGGAGGGGCCGGCGGCGGGAGGAAGACGGCGGCGGCGGCGGCGTGCTACGACAAGGTGGACAAGACGGAGAGCATGAGGGTGGAGATCAGGAGCCGCCGGGCGCGGCAGCTCATCGCCAAGAACCTCGCCGCCGCCGATTCCATCACCGGGAGCACGAGCAGCCCCCGTGGCGGCGGCGGTTGCGGCGGAGGCAAGAAGACGAAGAAGCGGTTCTTGGTCTTCTGATCGATCCGATCCACGTTGTGGACGATTGATCTGCTCCCTCATCGCTCGTCGTCGTCGATCTTGGTCTTGTCGTCATGATGATAATAATGCTTGCCATCAGTTGCTCATCCTCATCCATCCTGTAGAAACCGTGCATGCGTGTGTGCACCCTGAGCATTATTATTAATCTCTAGCTAGATTTGTGATCTTCTAAGAAAGAACTGAAAAACTAGCACTCTCTCCGTACTTAAAAATGAAGTCGTTTTAGATAAGGCTTGGGTCAAATGTTGGGAATATAAATCATGAATAACTTTTAAGTTGTTGAGTTTGGAAATATGAAAACAATACGTATAGATTTGTCTTAAAAAATACTTTCACAAAAATTTGCATATATCATTTTTTTATAAATATCTTTATAAAAATATGTAGTCAAAGTTATGCTTTGAAGACCGTGTCGCTGTCCAAAACGATTTTATTTTTTGGAATCCTGATTTGCTAGCGTTTAAGCGTCTGAATCCGAATGGATTGTGTACTGGAGGTCAAGGTTTAATTATGTAACCACTTGATCGGCCTGGGCTTTTGTATAACAAGACGGTAATGAACTGACGATGATTGCTCGTATATATCGTATCTTCCCATGACCAGGCGCAAACTTGGATAACTGCGCCACTATATTGGATCCGTGAAAGACTCGACAAAACATGCCGAACGGAAGCTAACGACTCATCATCTGGCCATCTTGGGGATATTTGGAGAAGCACCGTACAACATACGGCACAACAAAGTAGAGCGCACTATTCATGTGATGCTGTCCACTGCGTCTATAGACTTGCAAGGAAATTCCAGTTTCAGTGAGTGTTTCATGTTCCATTTTCGAAGACTCTCGTACGTTGAAAACAGTTTTATATCCATAACTCATCACATCTCTTTCCTCATTTATATTGCGACATATCAGTACATTTGTTAAGCTGGTAGCTTATTTAATGGCTATGAGACTCACCGAGATTGGCCTAAAGAGACAAAAGAACACTAGGAGACAATGCTTAGCCCCTAAGTAATACTCCCTCCACTCCAGCTTATAAGAAGTTTTGGCTTTTTAGATGTATATATGTTTGTTATGCATTTAGATATACACTATGTTTAGAATAATGATACTCCCACTGTCCAAAAAAAAATGTAAATCTCATTTCACGAGGAGTCAGAATCTTAACTCTGACTAAGTTTATAGAAGATATTATCTACATTTGGATCTCTATTCAAGTTTATTATAAAATATATATTTTATGATTAATCTAATGATACTTATTACACATCATAAGCATCAATACTTTCTGTGGCAAAACCTCCTAAGAAATCGAGCCCACGTGCACCTATCGATGTCTCAACAGACCTCAGATAGCGTACACAAGTTCCCAATAACTTAACAGGTCTATCGGATATCCTCGGGAAACCCGAATCATTCACGAATCTTTTTCAAACAGGATCACAATCACAGTCATTGCAAATTACAACAGTTTTCAATATACATATAAGAGATTATAAAGCGGAAGACTTAAGTTTTAATATTACAAACCAGTTGTTTCAAACTTACATAACCATAAGTGTCATACAACCATAATAGCGGAATAATATTACATTAACATTATTTATTTCACACAAACTAATGCCTTGTCCAAAGGCCTTTCATATAAAGCGGAAGACTTAAGTTTTAATATTACAAACCAGTTGTTTCAAACTTACATAAACATAAGTGTCATACAACCATAGTAGCGCGATAATATTACATTAACATTATTTATTTCACACAAACTAATGCCTTGTCCAAAGGCCATTCATCATTCCTCATCGTCATCGACTTCAAACACTGACATGCAGCAGGGACCAAAACAAGCCTGCGCATGCGACTCACCTGCAACAAGCGTTAACAAACCCTGAGTACAAAAGTACTCAACAAGACTAACCCGACGAAAAAGGGCGAAGGTCTTAGGGATGCATGTGTTGGGTCAAGGTAAGGATGTAGAAAGATTCAAAAGTTCCTTTGCCAAAAGCTTACTATTCTTGATCCTAGTTTCAAGTTTTACCCCTAAGTACTTTAGTTCAATATCCCAACTAAGTGTTCATATCCCATGTTCCAATCCTTCTCATTCCATTCTTTTTCTCATGTTTTAGTAATTCACCAGTCCTGCATTCCTTCTATAATGAATCGAGTCTCCATATCCGCGGAGCACCGGCAATTCGAATTGATTCAAGTCCCAGCTGGGGATTCCTTATCACACGACATATGTAGAACTTAATCTTGCATATATCAACCTCGCTACCGGGTCCTTCCGTACTAAGCCGTCTCCATGCCACCCGAGAGCACAGCACGCCTCAAATCCGGCCACATTCAAGCCACGAGGGTACACGTTACTCCCGCCATCTCACCACTCCCAGTGCGTGGGCATTCGTCTTAGTATCGGATTAGCCGAAGTAGGCTTACCAGAATATATGACCAGTACTACAAAGTGTCTCGTTCAGAAGATCCACAATGAGTGGCCTTTAAGCGACATAGTCGGCAACATTACCCAACATTCAAGATAAGCCACCCAACTAGTCTCTAGTTCATTCTATTTTCTTTCTTTCTTTCTTTGGCCAGTATGCCATCTTTGATTGTATCGAAACTTTTACTTTGAAAATCTACCATAAAGCATACTAAGCAATTCTACGCCTTTGTAAATGAAATCATCTTCAAGGATGGTAAACAATTAACAAGGTAGGCAATGCATCAAATAGGTAACATTTGAATTAATCAACTTAATGCAATAAGTAACTTAGGTGATAAACTTTTTAAAGTAAACAAGGTAATGGTTTAATGCATAAACCGGGGCTTGTCTTCGTTGACGATCTCTGGTTTCGAATCAGTACCATAATTATCAAATCCCGTGACAACCGGGGATTCTTCTAGGACTTGCTCAACTAGAATCGTTTCACTCTCGGGTTCTACACGAAATGATAACATATGCTTTAACATAATGATAATGTAAACATGATG